CTTCTGCACTTCCAAGTCCCACGACCTGAACACAAACCATAAAGTACCAGCAGCACAGCTGACTCCATTCATGGCATCACTCACATTATCTTGTTCATGAATGAACTATAAATGGAAGCGTTTCCTGAGTCAGAAACAGGTGGAGGGGAAGAATGAACTAAAGCAAAGGGAAATATGAATGAAGGAAAACAAAAGCAAATAAGCAGAGAATGAAGAGTGCACAAAAAGGAAATAAACAATACATCTGAGTATGTACTACAAAAGAAAGGAATGAAGAAAGAATGTGTTAATGCCTTCGGCCTCTTTTTCAAGGTATCAAAATGATTTTTCTGCAGTACTTGCTAAGTAGATTTGACAAAACCACTCAGTACCATCTCAGTGCTTTAGTGGACCAGCCTACCTCTCTACAGCTGTATTCTTTAGACCGGTAGGCATTGAAACCCTGGGGTAGATCCCCAGGGACTCCTTCTAACTGGCTTCAGGGCAGGCTGTGGAAGTAGATTCCCAAGAGAAGAGGATGGATCTTACTGTGGGATGCTGGATCAAAGAGAATGGTTGTTACTGCAGGATGCTCAGAATGTTTACAGGTGGGATTTATCACCTGTAACATAAAACACCTAAAAGCTGTATGTCCAGCCTAAACAAGCACATTGAGAAAAAACAACACTCCTGAGGGATCTATATGTCTCCATTAACTAATGGAATTCATAAATTGATAGAAGGCACTAAACTTGGTGGTGGCTAACAATAGCTGAGATAAATCCTGCTTTCAAAGACTGAAGCCTTTCTTTCTGCAAAAGAAAACAACATACTGCATCTCCCTTAGCAGACAGGCATGAGCAGTTTAGCGTTATCAAAGCATGTGTCCCGGTTATAGTCAGATACTATAATCCCCTGATCTCTCCCTTCCACTGGCTAGCATTTATAATAGACTGGATATCAGGAAAAAACTCTTCACCAAAAGGGTGCTCAGGTATTGGAACAGGATTTCCAGGGCAGTGGTGGAATCACTGTCCCTGGAAGTGTTCAAAGACCATGTAGATGAGGCCCTCAGTGACATGGGTTAGTGGTGGCTTTGGCAGTCCTAGGGTAACACTGGACTTGATGATCTTAAAGGTCTTTTCCAACCTAGCTGATTCTATGATTCTGTGGATTACTTGTGAGCTATCCAGACACCTTTTCTGGGTTCTAAGAAAACCAGTTAGAGATTGAAAGACAGAGTAGGAAGATGGACAGGAGAATGTAACTTCAGAGCATTTATGTGCTGAGCCTGCTGGTGTGGAAAGGCAAAATTACATGCCAAAGTCTTCAAGCCCTTTACTACACTTACCCTCACCCGCTTCCCTTCCCATACATGTGAGAGGCTTTGCAACCAGCATGGCACTTCCTCTGGAATTTTAGGTGAGGAGTAAAAGCAGAGTATCTCCACAGTATCAAATACTACTGTACACTTCTGAGCTCTATTGCCTGACTCCAGGAACAGGCAGTGGTTTGCTTGTTTGTCAGCATCACTGCTTCAATACCTGCAGAAGCCAAGAGAAGTCTGCAGAGCAGTCTTAAAGCCGGACTTACAGCTGAGTCTGGAGTCTGTGACCTGGGCAGCTCTGCCCTGCCTCCAAATGCACAAGGGAGGCTGACACTTTTGCAGATGTTTTAAAAGCTGTCCTATTATTTATTCATGCAGCTGGGTTAATTCAACCTGGTGGCAGTGGAGACAATGCTTACAACACACAATTCTAACACAAGTTTTCACATCGAGCGAAAGCTAAACTAACACAGCAAGTGGCATCAATAATTGAAACTGCTTTCGGGAGGGAGAGGATGCGCCAGGAAGGCTCCAGGGTCAGGTCTGGGATGTGAAAGAGCAGAGACATAAAGGCTTGCTCACTGCAGGTAGTCAGAACCTGCCCAACAACTACTGCCTGCTCACAGTCACCCTGCTTGGGCATTTGAGCTTGCCAGGACTAGCAGGGCCTGACCTTCTGCCCACTTGGGCCACAGAAATGACTGTGGCATTGAGAAAATTGTGCAGAAGCTACTGTAGGAGCTATCCTGTCTGCCACGTGCTCTGCTGGGAATACCACTGGATTTCTAAGTGTGGGTAGATGTGGGGACTGCAAGACAGCCCTTGCAGAGTCCATTCTCTCAACATGTGCCAGTGTTTCTGAGCTAGTTTGATTTGAGTTGGATGAGGAATGAAAACCAGACTAGATCTTAGTTCTAAAATGCCAAAACGTCTTTAAGCTGCATCTTGCTCCCACACAAATGGCTCAAAAGTCATGACTAGCCTTATAGTGCATTACAGTGCACTGGAAATTCCAGCATACTGTACTAGACTGCCAGCCCTCTTCTTCCTGCAGCAGGGACATGAGGAATATCCAGAGTGATAATCCTGGGCCAGGATTTCCCCTGGCAATGCCTTGTTTCCATACATGTCACACCGCTGGGTGTGCAGCCATTGCCCAGCCAGCTCTTACAAGCAGTTGATGAAAATTTGCTTGGGAAACACAGCAACAATTGCTATCCCCAAGCTCAGAACTGACACAGGAAGAGAGTGAAAGTACCTGCAAACAGCACAGCTACAGCTAGCTGAATGTGTGTGTTTTTCCTTACTGTTTTAGAACATTTTGTGTATATGTCTACTTTTATTGCTGCCTTCGAGGAAGATGAATCAGCAATTTATTGTGAAGAGGGGATGGCAGCATAGATTGTTAGTTCAAGAACATCAGCTGTTGCCTGGAGAGATCAAACACAGGTCTGAACCCCTAATTCAGACTCAGTTGCTTGATACATGTCTATGTACACAAAGTTCATGTCCAATATATGTCAGTGTACACACGGCCTCAACAGCTCAGTTCCCATCTTTGGGCCTTGCTTTCTACATTTGTAAATAGAATGGTGGGGTCACTCTTAACATGGAACATTTGGAGTGCTACACTGAGAGATGCAGTGGAAACTGAGAGTAATGAGCATGACAAAGTAAAGCCACCTGCTTTAATGGACCTCCTGCAACATGCAAAGATGGGCAACCAGAACATAGCAGTTCCTGAGCATTAAGGCTGGAGGGCAGACATCAAGATTTGCAATAGAGGCTGTTCTCAGGAGCTGCTGGCACAGAGTTTGTAGTCACATGTGAGGCAGAAGAACATGGTTATTTGCAGGGATGATGCCAAATTTAGGACTACACAGAAGTGCCAGCCTATTGCTCTTGCAATATTTCCCTGTCTGTGCAGAAGCTAGGTTTGGACTTCTGCAGAGTATCTGTCAGGGAAAGCAGCCCACACACTGCCTGCTGGAGAAAAAGAGGCAATTACTTTTAATTGTAGCTCTCAGCATGAAGAGACTGGAGAGAACATGTGTCTTGCTGCTGGCCAAATCAATACCCAACCCATGCAGTATATAAAAAAAAAGAGCTGGACCAAAGGTCAGGTACCTGCAGCAATAAGCAGCAATTGCAGCAGGAATGAATTTTGAAATTTGGGCCCAGATTTGACTCTTGAACTGGCATCCTCTAGTACTTCCCTGGAGTAAAAGTGGTGTGTGCATTGGGTTTAGGGTTTCTTTTTGGCTTGGCTCAAGAGAAACCACTGCAAAATTCAACTGTTTGGAGGATGAGAAAATATAATAAAGGATCCAGCAAAAAGGACTTCCTGTCTAATGGAAAGACAGCTCTCAATAGGAACTGTCATTCTGCCTAATAAAAGCAAGACCTAGACGGTCATTCCTTGAAATGGTCTCAGAATGAGCTTGCTGCCTCCTGACGACTCGGGTCACATCAGCCTGCATGGCAGCCTTCACATTAACTCACTGCTGAAAAGCTGCAGTCTCACCCTGCTTTCACTGCAGCAATTCTCAAGGTGGTTGGGTGGTGTCCCCTGTTCCTCATGTCCCCTTTCTATCACACAGATAGCTGTACTTTCTCCTTTGCCCTCATCTGAAGTACACCAGGACCAAGGAGGAAACAAATGGTCATCTCGCTTCCCCAGGCCTATCCTTGCAGAAATCCTGTCATCTTGGACATTGCTCAGAAGAGCAGGCAAGATGTTTTTCTTCCCAGCATTTCACACCCTGCTCCTTTGGTGCTGGGGTCTGACAAATTAGCAATGGTTACAATGTGGAAGGCAGAGAAACAGGCAGGCACTGAGGTAGTATAGGTTGGTATATTGGTTTTTGCAGCCCAAATTGCAGGACTCGAAAGATGAGAGAGGAATAGGCTGAGAGATGCATGGTTTGTGTGACCAGGGGAGAGTCACAGTGAGAGAACTGAAGGGAAGAATCCATCAAAGGCAGCCACTAACAGAAGCATGGAGGAAACCTGAGATCTTGCTCAGAAAAGGGATAGCTCAGCCCACTGGAGTTTTGGAGTGGGGACATTCCTCAGTGCTCTGTGACTGCAGTGGCAATGACAAACCATTTGTAGCAAGCTTCCTTTTGCAGGCTTTTCATTTCTAAAAGGAGTAGCATTGCCAAACAGAATCAGCTTTCTTCTTATTATCCCTGTAGTGCAAGTGGACAAAATGAAAAGGCCACCCATCTCAAAATCGGACAGAAAGAGAACCAGGTGTGGAGCCACCATTCACTACCTGCTGCTGGTCTCACTGCAAGGAACAGGTATTTTTATTCTTCTGCCTCTTAGTACTTCCCAGAACACATCAGAGCTGCTTTATCTGGATTGGGTAAGAACCCAGTCACAGAGCTTCCCAGCCACAAAACCTCCCAGCATCACTGCTTCTACCACCCGATAGTGCTTGGCTCCTGCTAGATGATCACAAGCCCCCAGAGGAGAGACTGAAATGAAAGGGCTGCTGATATGAAGGAGGAAATACATTGCTGGGAAATCCATTGAGAGGTGTCAGGTAGGGAGTGGGAATGGTAAAGTTCCTGTGGAGTGGGGATGGAGGGGACATAGAGGATGGGGTCTTGCTAGTGCAGCCAGGAGCAGAGTGTGCTCGAAACTCCTTTACAGTGCAGGGAGGAGGGGAAGAGGTTTCCACACTTACTCTAGCACATCCCTGTTGAACTGCTTCTTGCTGTTGCCCAGGAACTCCCCAATCATCTGGCGACTGAGGCCCTTCCGCTGGAGCAGGAAGTGTGCCACCCCAATGGGTGTATCTGGGATGAAGCCGCGGGAGATCAGGAACTGGATCCCTTTGTCTGGGTTTCTGAAAGAGAAGGTCAGAGACATACATGATGAGTTTGCATGATCTCTTTTATGCATTATCTCCTTTGGCTCACTTCACGGCTTGTAGCAATGCAGCCATCAGTATGTGCATGGGCTCCTATGAGTTCATGCGCGTGGCAGAATGGGACTGGTGTGGGCAAGGAGAAGTGACTTGAGGGAGTCCCCTTCCAGTTGCTGCTGAAGACAAAAGGATGCCATGGGATGCTGTGTTAGTTGCAGTACCTGCTGTCACCTGGCAATCACAAGTGTCATCCTTCTGCTACAAAGAATCCTGATGCACAATACCAACATCATCTTCTGCCGTCAGCCTTCTTAAGAGTTAAAGACTCTTGCACCTTTCCTGCCCCAGCTTGGTTTACTTAGGGTTCCTGTAAGGACATGATTAGATTGTGTCCTCCACACAACACAGGAAATACAAGTACATTCGGCTGCTCCAAATGCAACCCACAGTGAGCTGTCTCCAAGGACCAGGGTGACAGCCCCTTGCTTTTAGGGGAACTGGGGTTGCATCTTTGGCAGGGCAGACAAAGCTAAAGGGAAAAATGTGGCTGTAAAGAGACTTAGGAGACATTGCTGCCATGGTCAATGGGCAAATGAGGCTCAAGACACAAAGAGAGATAACCAGAGGTGGATACTTTTTCTATGGAAAAAAAAAAAAAATCTCTTTTTCATATATTTTTAGTGCTCAGTGTTAGTGACACTTTCTACCTTCTTCACCTGAGCCTGGTGCTGGCTGCCTGAACAGAAACCCCATTCTCAGGTTTGGTTATCTCTTCTTCCACTTCCCCCACCCTTACCTGTGTTGTTCTTCCCTTCTCTATTGATTTATCCCCTCAGGGGGGGGGGGGGGGGGAATTGAGAGAAGGAACCTGGAGAATGTCTTGTCAGAGCTAGGAAAATACAGAGGGGTTTTCTCCCTCTGCGGCTGTGGGTGCCTCTCTGAGAAAGGATTGGTGATGAGTGGGCCTGACTGCAGCTCTTGGGGGTAGTGCATGTCTCAATAGGTACATGCGTTTGTATACGTCTATGTCCTGTACATACAGATTTCTTTTGCATCATACACGTTCATTAGAGCCTGTGTGTCTGCATCTTTTGGCTTCCTCCTCCTGTCTCCTATAAGCACACATGGTTCTATGTATCCTGGCAGTGGCTGTGAGCCTACGTAGTGGTGTGTGTCCCACAGTACAGACAGGAATGAGTGTGCATGTGTGTATCATGTAGCAGGTTTTCTTCCTGTATTTCAGTCTGCCCCACTGAAGGGTGTCATGCACTCTTGCTGAAAGGAATTAGTGAAATCCCAGGGAGATTTCACATTCCTTTGGCTCTATGAGGTGGTGAGTGGGGGAGGTGAGAGGGTAGCTTCTTCATGAAAGGATGCCATACTTCCCTTATTAACCCAAATGCAGCTATCTATGTCAAGGCTCAAGGAGTGAGCTTGCTCAGGCAGTTTCCTGGGGTTAGGAAAGGAAAGGATGAGATCCCAGACCACGTGAATGCATGATATGCACAGGCACAGACTGTGACACTGTCAGGTGGTAGAGGATGTGGGTGAGCAACATATGTCTAGCTATAAGGGAGTCAGCATTTGGAATGGCCTGCTCCTTACAGGGGCTTCATGGCTATATAAAGAGTAGATGGGCTTGAAATAGTTCTGCTTACTCTGTAATGCCACAGAGAAAATATCCTGGGGAGCGTGGAGTCCCTGGGGAGAGTGGCTGGGAGAACAAGCCAACCCATTACATTTATGAACAGGAGAGTTGAAAGATCTGATATTGAAAACTCTAGGCCATCCTCAGGGAAAAGCAACAGTGTGCCTTCTGTATTACCACACAGATCTGGTTCACCTTTGAAGAGCACAGGCAAAGTTACTTAAGTGCAAAGGTCATATGGTCAGGACTGAAGTCAAGCTAAGCAATGGAGATGCATTAAATGCACCTCCACCTGCACGCTTGGGTATCTGGTAAGTGACAGTGCGATGTTCACTGTATGGGGATGATCTCAGCTACACTGGTGTGACTCCAAAGCCACCAGGCTGAGTTTGCATTCACTCCAGAGGAGCTGGGAGCTGAATATGGGCAGAAAAATGCAGCTCACATACTGGATGTGCATGGATGTGCAGATTTCAGTAGAGATGGCACACACAGTGCAAGAGGATGTAGGCTGAAACAGTCCAGCTGTGACATCCCTCCTGCACTGCCTATGCTGTAACTCAAACATACTTGCATACACTATTCTTCCACCAGCAGCAGCCTGTCATCAGTTTTTCTTGGGATTCAGTTTGTTCTCCATAAAATCCTGATAAGCAGTGCATCATCTCTGCCTCTGAACACCTGCAGAGGTATCCCATGTACTGCAGCATGCACCTTTTACCCAGATGTACAGCAGCAAACTCTGCTTCCATCTCTCCTGGGCCTGGTGCCTGTTATTTTGTTTAATGTTGCAGGGGTGTTAAACACCGCCAGCAAATGCTGCGGGATTCCTCATGTCCTGCTGGCTTTCCCTATGCCCACGCAGCCAGCTGCCCACACACACTGAGTTATTACAGCAGCACTGCATAATGAAGCACTCTCCATTCCAGGGATTCCACCCCCTCACTGTGGAATGGAGACTGGGAAACTGCCACAGAAGCACAGCATCCATGCATTCCCAGGGGGCTGCTCCGAACCAGAGAGCTGTTTTCTGAAAGTAGCAACTCAAGGCAACACAGGGCTGGATAGATTATGGCAGATGGTGATAGAACTGCAGGCTTCAGCTCTTGGTCCAGGGGAACAGACAGTAAAAAGGATGTGCACACACAGAGGCACGGTCTCAGCTCCATGCCCTATGGGTTGGTGCTCACATCACAAACCCTACAACAGTGAACTGGCTCCCTGCTAGAAATTGATAGGTAAATAACAACCAAATAACTGCAGAAAGCTGAATGGCCTTCACATCCCCTTGGATGGAGATGCACTGCAGTGTCACAAGGGGAGCCTTAAGTTCCTCTCAGAGAATAATAAAAAACAACCTTCACTCCCCAGAGCTAACAGGTCAGCTCCCTTCCTCCCTGTCCTCCAGTTTTGTCAAAACAACTGCGCCTTCCAGGTTAATACACACTATTTCAGCAGTTAGTTTCAAGGGAGCAGGGGAGGCCTGGCTAGGAAACTGTGTTTCAGAGCTCCACGGTAAGTGTTGTAGCCCACAGGGACCTGCAAGATGCAGTGAACCCAGATCACTGAATGAAGGAGGAAGGCAGAGCTGCTTCCCCACAGCAGACCTGGTGCTGCTAATCTGTCACATGAATGTGTGCCAGGCAGACTGGGGGAGGAGGAAAGGCCAGGAAAAAAGCATTCTCATTCCTGCTTTACCTTCACATAAGTGCCCATGTCAACTGTGCAGGAACCAAAGGAAAACACATTGGCTGGAGGGACTCCTGCCAAGCACAGCTGAGAATACTGAAACAGGAGCAGAGATGTGAGCCCCATGTCTCCCCCCCACCTATCCTAACGCAAACACTAGAACATATGTGCGGACCTGGAACTATCTCTATCACAATCAACCCCACCTGCATCTGGTAGCTACCTTCTCGAGTTCCAGCCTGCTTGTGCTCATCAGGCAAATCTGTGTGTGCCCAGAGCCTGACTTTGATAAACACACATGGACTCACCTCTTCACAACCTGAGCTCAGAGCTAGCAAAATGTCCTCAGTTCTGTAAGAGTCACAGATCTGTCTGCTCTAACACCACTTCAGCTCTGGGTGTGCTCTGAGCCCAGGCTGAAAAACCTCCATACTATATACATGTTATATGGAGGCTGTGGACTCCACATTCTTGCCTCCTGGAGTCCACAACCTCCACTCTACATGTATAGTAATCCTATGCATTGCCCCTTGTCTGTGCAAAACTTCTGCCTCAGACTGCATAACTTTTAGTCCTTGCTCTTACCAAAACGCCCACACTAATGTGTGGCAAAACATTCTTCTAGTATGAGTGCATTACATCCCCAGCATCTTCATCAAGGGACTCAAATGGAAACCAAGACAGCATCAGATGAGTGTGAGATGATGAAGCAAAAACCAGTATTTCTCATGGCTTGCTTAGATGAGAAAAGTCCCACTGAAAGGCGATGAGCAAATCTAAATCTCCTTAGAGGAGCTCAGCTGCTTTCTGCTAATCCAAAATAGACTCTGTGTGACCCCTCCAGTTAAACTCTTCTTTGGACTGCTCTGCTTTTGCTTTTCCTAGGATATCAGTCTCAGATGTGTGAGACTGAGATGACTAAACCTGGTCTGTCAGGTGAAAATCTACCCAGATACCAGAATGAAATTGACAGCCAGAGCACTTGTACTGGGCAAGCTAAGCCCAGTTCTACCTCTGTCTCTCTCTTTACTTGGAAATGCTCCATGTTAAGTAACCAGGGCTGGATTTAGAGTACCACCTATGTTGGTTCCTTTGCAACAGAGTGTGGCAGAAGCCTGGATCCCAAGCTCAGCTGGTGGATGCCAAGTGGACAGCAACTGGGACTGAAGGTTCAGAACTCAGGAGAGCATGGGCACTACTCATGGGGCTTGCTCCTCTGTTGGGTAGAAGCTGAGGACAGTACTTAATAAACCTAAAGAAAAAGCTGGATGAGCTAAACTGATCTAGACCAAGAGGCTGCCATCACGTGTTCCTGTGAGGGGTGAAATAGGCTGGGAAACACAAAAGAGGAAGAGCCACTCACATATTAAAGAGGTTGAGCCCAATGCGGTAGAGGCGCTTCCTCATGGTGTCAGTGGAAAGTGTGGGGGACTTGCAGCTAGCTGGGTTCTCGCAGTGGTACCTCGGGAGGCTGAGGATCATGGCCTGCAGTGCTTCTTTGGAGGACACCTCCGAGGCTGACTTGGCTGAAGTGGAGGTGCTGCTGCTGCTCAGCTGCTCTGAATTGTCTGCATTCTCAGACTCAGAGCCTTTGTTTTGCCCTGTCTCATTGCTAGCATCAAGCTGGAGCTTCTGCACTGCCATCTGCCCAGGCTCAGCACTGCTGTCTCCCGTACCATTAGCACTGACATTCACCTCGGTGAAAGTGTGGCTGTTCTGGAGAGCTGTGGACTCAGGTGAGCTCTCTGGGGCAGCCGGTGGTTCACTGGCTTCTCCTTCCCCTTCTCCTGGGCTTTCTTCAGCCTTGGTAGCTTGAGAGAGGCCAGCTTGGGCATTGTTGCTGAGGCAGTTTGCCATGGACACCGAGGTAGACGATGAGACAGAGATGTTCTTGTTGTCGATCTGGACTGTGACATCCCTAAAAGCCATCATGAGAGTGCTGCTGCTCTTGGGTAGAGTGTCTGGCAGGAGCCCTTCCTCTTTCTCCTTATCCTGCAGCTCAGCTTCTAAATCTTGGTTTGGCTGCATGGAGCTAGCACTGAAGGTCTCCCTTATCTGGTATGAGCCCCCGTCTTGCAGTGAACACATGGTCTTCAGGCTCCAAGTGCTGAGGGCATCATCAATAGACTTGGCCAGGGACTGAACTTGTTCTGTGAAGGAGTCCTCCAGCTCGGTCAGTGCCCCACTGATGGTGGCTGGCAAAGATGGAGACCTCACCAATGGGATGCCCACAAAGTTGTACCCCTCCACCAGGGCTTTCTCAGCAGAGAAGCTCTCCGAGTTCTGGACCCGGACTTTCCTCAGGGAGATGCGGCGTGGCATGCGGCTCTCTAGCAGCGAGTTGCGGATCTTCTCAAAGTTCTTGCTGAGCTGGTACTGCCGGAAAGCAGTTTGGATGGTGCAGGCTGCCCTGCGAGACACCAGGTGACCGCCGTACTTGTGTTCTAGCATTTCGATCTGGAAGACATAGAAACAGGAGATGTTATTCTTTTGCTAATTGACCTCTGATGGCTTTCTGTTACCCTGGTTCCTACGCTGCTGAGTCTGTAATGACTGTCAGAGGAACTTCTGACACTGAATTAGCTTTCCCCTGCACTACTGGAGCCTGGAGGTGCCCTTCCCTTGCTTACACACTTCTCTTGTCATTAGGGCAAGCTCATCACTGCAAATACAGTGCTCCAGCAATGTGTCTTCCTGCTCTGCAGTGCTCTGGTGATGTCAAGCGTCATCCCTTATCTCAGAGTGTTACTAATGCTCCTCCCCTCCTTAGTCACCTTAACAAATACTCTCATGGAAAGGAGAAACCATACAGAAATAGGAATAAAAAGTTAATTTTTAAATTCAGAAAATGCTGGGTTGATCATAGGAGCTGGTGAGAAACATCAGCTTCCATACAAGTCAGTGAGAGCTGTGTTTGTTTGCCGTCTTTAAAAAAGTACTCTGAATCCCAAAGTGTCTTCCTTTCTGATATCTGTGGTTTTCAGGTGTCAGCCAGCAGTGAAATAAAAACTACTCAAGAAAAGAAAGACTCTGGAAGGTAAAAAAAATCATATTTTAAAGGTTGAGTCAAGATATTAAGAACAGGTAGAAGGAGGATTTACTTCTTCCCGAGCTGGTAACAACAAAAACAGATGTAAATACGTACACGCACAGCTAAATGGCATCTCAACAGGCTTCAACAAAGCACGTATGAATTGTAATTTCTCTTCCATAGTCTAGTGTTCATACTTTCTGGTAATCCCCTCACTCTTCCTCTGCAGCTGGCCCTTCACTAATATCCTACAGGATAATGTTGGATGACTTGGTTCCAGTGAGTGACTGATGGAGGACAAGTGGGACAGTGTGAAGATGATGGTGGATAATGGGATTGAAGAAAATATAAGGGTGATCTTGAACTACCTTCACTGAGGTTTTGACTGAACTATGAGCTAACCTCTACATTGTCACTTCACAGGGCCCAGTGCAGATGCAGGCTGTAGAATTTATATGTGTGTGTGCGCACATGTGGAAATCCAAAAAAAAAGGGGGAAATGCAAGACTGGGAGTGCTGGTAACATCAGCCCTCAATTAACAGAGGATTCACTACATCTTTCATGTGGTGAGTATGAGCTCATTAGCAGATCCAAAGGCTGAGTTTAACTGACTGCATCCTTATCCCCAGAAAAACACCACTTGCCCCTCACCATGCCTTGCTGGCCCAGTACTCACAGGGTGAAGGACTGAACTCACAGAAGACCTGAGTTTCAGTGCAAACTGATTTTGTACTCTAAGCAAGACTGAGCCTCAGCTCCCAGAGTTGTGTCATCTGCTTCCTTCTTGTCTTCCTTTTTTGTAATACTATGTAAGTTGCAGATAAAACCATCAGTGAGTGATTTAGGTACAAGAAGGCTTGAAATCACAGCTGTAAAAAGTGTAAATCACCTCTGGCATCTTTCCAATGCTAACTCCTCTGGGGAAGACAATATGACATTGGGAGATGACAGGAAGAGAGGAACAACATGACCCCAGGTGTTCTGTGCCTGCACTGGTATCCTGGCTGTTGGAGTAAGTACTGCAGACCTTCCCCACTGAGACCCCTCACTCCAGGTAGCAACAGGTCTAGAGATCCTGCTGCACTGGATGGGAGACTGCCATTTCTGGAAGGGATTGGGCCTCAGGGCACATCCTGTCATAATTTCCTCTCTGGAAATGAAGAATGGACCCTTTGCCTGGGCTCAAATGTAAAGCTTCTGTTTTCTGTTTCCTGTTTTCCTTGCCTTTGAATTCACATCTGTTCAAAGCAAGCATCAAGCCCAGCACTGAGACATACTAGCAATTTGCTTAGCAGTGGGGTCAGCCACTGCAGTCGAAGAGACTGAGAGATCTGCTGTCCTTGTTTCAGCTGGGATAGAGTTAATTTTCTTACTAGTATCTGGTGCAGTGCTGTGTTTTGGCTTCAGTCTGAGAACAATGCTGATAAGACACTGGTGGTTGTTGCTAAGTTGCTTACTCTAGATCAAGAACTTTCCAGTTTCCTGTGTTCTGCCTATGAGGAGATGCACAAGAAGCCAGGAGGGAGCAGAGGCAGGACAGCTGACCCAAACTAGCCAAAGGCATATTCTATTCCATGGAACATCATGCTTAGCTGCTGATCGCTGCTCAGGGACAGGATGGGCATCAGTCAGTGGGTGGTGAGCAATCATATTGCGCATCACTTGGGTTTCTTAGCTTTTATTCCTCTCTTTCCTTCTCCTTTTCTTCTTCTTGTTCATCATAATCACCATCATCATTATTTACTTATTTCTTTTATTAAAGTGTTCTTATCTGAGCCCACAGGTTTTACCTTTTCCCAATTCTCCTCCCCATCTGACTAATGGAAGCAGGGAATGAGTGGCTGTGTCGTACTTATTTGCCAACTGGGGTTAAACCATGGCATCTGCTTACCCCTAATTTAAAAAACATTTTCCTAATATTTGCCCTGCTGCCCTCCCAGAAAGATTTTGATGCTGCAACAAAGAGAAATACAGGGATAAAAAGAGATTCTGAGTAGCACACAAAAGGGCTTTGCTGGGGTTCTTTTTCCTTCTTTCCAAAATGACCATCTTAAATCCCACCATAAAACCAGCATTCCTGTCACATCTCTTCAAGTTGTCCTCCCTTGAAAGGGACTGAGCTATTCCATGGCCCTCCCCTTCAGGAGGAAGGCTCATGCACATAAGTGCAAATTAAACCAATAACCTACACAGGCCCAACCCAGATAGTTATTACTGACAACTGACCGTGAGCACTTAATATAATGGTCTGGTTAATGAAAATGTAGAGCTAATTGTGTTGGGAGGGAAAGAGGAACAAATGGGAGGGACAGATACAGCCATCTGAGGAACAGAATAATAGTAAAATGCAAAATAAGGCAGAAGCAAGAGCCTTACAATTATCTGAGGTTTCCAAGGAGGTGACAGCCATTCTGAAAACATGAGATTCATATGCACTGATCTTATTAGAGGCAAAGACAAGATGTCATTGCTGATCTGAAGTAAAAGGCCAGTTTATCTCATGCAAGGACAGTTCCCGAAAAAAGCAGACTTTCAATAATCACCAAGAGGAGAGATCCTTCCAAAAGTCTAACAGAATGGTGCAAGCTGTCAGCACCTTGATAAAACATCACCAGCTTTTTGCAGCCCATTATCTCAGTCCTCCCAAAGGGCTAAAGCATCAAGGAGCAGAACAAGATGTAAAGTGACGGGACTCCCAACCTAGTCTGTTCTCCACCATGTACCAGGTGTGCAAAGATGTGTTCTGCACGTGGTCCACTTCCATCCAGCCTTATCCAAAGCAAGGGGAGTCCTACAGTGTCTTGTGGCTGTGATGACAAGGACTGGGGAGTGATCCAAAGGATGCTTGAGAAGACTGGTAAAGCCAGAAGAAGCAGCCCCACAGAGAACTTCCCTCCCCACTCTTCCTTGGTAGGAGTGGGTCTCTGTCTCTCCTTGATGTAGCCCAGGCATTTTCTGCTTACTGATGTCTGAGACATTCACATTTGCTATCAGGTCGAGCCAACTGCAGAGGAATTAAGGATTTCACAGTGCTGTGGCCTGTTTTCTTTCTCTTGAGAGGAGGAAAGGGCATCCATTAGCACCACAGCAGTCACAGGTAATGGAGATGTATGTCTGGCTTGCTGGAGGAACCTTCTCTTCCCATTTGAGAGGGGAGAAAGGCCAGACATGATTGGCCTTCTCTCACTCCTAATAAACCCTGTGAATCACAAGTAATTGCCTACTTAAAGCTGCTCTTCTCTGGGGAATGATCTGACAGCTGGCGCCAAAGGAAGGGGAAAACAGGAGGGGGTCACAGGGATTTCTAAGAATAATTAGCTTAATATATTTCTGGGTCTCAACATGAACACTTAGTCTGAGCAATTCAGGCCCTGTGGCTGAATTAGAAATGGCTGGGAAATATCCATTGCCATGAGGGATTGCACATGAAGGGAGCTTTAACAAGGTCAGCCTAAGGCAAATCAAAGTGCCAGGCCTGGATATGGCCAAACCTTTGAGGTACACACCCCATGGCTTTGTTGCCTATAGGCATAAATTTATAGATCTGCCAGGAGAGAATGGGCCTGATCTTATTCTCATTTAGCACTGGTTTTCCACCCAGGTTGCCACTGAGGATGGCAGCATGCTACCATGTTAGCAAAAAGAGGATCATGCTCAGTGACAGAATCTGAGTCACTCAAGTCAATGCATGCATTGTAGAAAATAACAAAAAGACATCGAGAGCATACATGCTCTCTGTCACCCATTCTTAATCCCTCTGCCTCTCACCAACCTTTCACAATGGAAAGACATTGCTGTAAGAGCCATGTGTAAATGGGACATTTTCCTTCATCCATGGTACATCTACCATGTTTCAGCACAGCAGAAGAGTACGCACGACTGAAAGTGTGCTCCTCTCTCCTGTGATCCCCGACAGTACAATAGAATCTCAACACAGGGGAAATTAAGAACTTGATTTTCCTTTCCAGCTTCCCAGCATAGTGCACTTCTGCTCTGCACACCATCACATGCTTTGTTTCATGGGATAGAGAGCAAATAGAGCCATGACCCCACTCACCAACCATCTAGTGTGAGGACCTGAAACTCCAAGCCCTGCAGAAGAGTCTCTAGGCTACTCTCCTTCCTCACCAGCACTCACGCGTCTCCTAAAAGGTAAATGTGACTTCAACTGCACTTTGAGACTAAAAATGTCTCCTTCCACCTGCTTTTCGTACTGTAAATTCTATGAACATATTACAGTCTGTGCTATGACTAGAAAACTACTGGGACAGTGCTTGAGGGTCCTAGCACTTTTCACTCCCTGAAAATCTCTCCTTCCAGAGCTGGAGGCAATCACCTGAGGACATCCATCAGGCTGGAGGAGAACGCACCCTGTAAGCCCCCTTTGCTTTGAGGAAAGTGGTTTCACTTACAAGATAGGCTACATCCCTGCAAGGTCAGGATTGCAAGGCACCACAATTTAATGAGTGAGCAGCTAACATGCACCCAGGGCAGGTCTGGCCTCTGCTGCAAAAACAGTGATAGGACAACATGACCTTAATGCTAAAATAACGCAGGACAGACACTCCCCAGGACAAATCAGAGCAGCTCTAGGACACTGAGGAAGCTAAGCCCAGATATAGCAGCCAAGGTCTGGCCCACCCTGAAGACATGTCACATTAGTTTGTGAGGCCAGTTAATTGGTCTCTCTCATTTCTTTTCCTTGTGTGAAGCAAGAATTCTGTCTGAATTGAGTATGCAACATTTTGAGAAAGACGGAGCTAAAGAGCCAAGGTCTCTTTTCTGCTCAGGAATTTATTGGTCCATTGATCTGACATATATGTTTAGGGACAGCAGCAATGCCTTGAGGGAAGTGGTTGAGAGATGTCCCTAAAGCAGCAGCTTCTTCTGTGGGAACCTCATTAGCTGAGACCCTTCATCTGCAATAGCACAGCTCCCACTGAATTCTCCAACTGAACGTGATCTGGACACTGTCACTAGCATTTGCTTGTCCTCCTTATCTCACATACCACAGGGTCTGCATATCGAACGGCCTCTCCTTGAGCTGCCATCCCAGGGAAAAGTCAGAAACCATTCTTTGGGTTTTGTTTTGCACAACAGCTCTGCTGGGCTGTAGTCTGCAGAGACATGGGTGTAGGGGGCACGTTCCACCTCATTGTTTTTGAATGAGGAGGCCAGCTGCTATTAGCCCCTGTCTTGCAGTCCCCTGCAGAGAGCCCATCAGGAGGTGCAGTTTGAGATGGTACACTTGTGATCTGGAGCTAGGCTGTAGCCTCAGGCACAGGAAGTAAGGCTTGCAGCTTTGAGAATTTAATCACTTTCAGCCTGGTAAACTTGCCTGTCTCTTCAGCACTCATCACTGGATTGAAGGCAATAATGGTAGCACTACCCAAACAATCGTGGTAGACACTGTGCAGGACACTCACTAAATAAATCCCTCTACCCCTGTAAACACATGCTTTGAAGAGACTAATGCAGAAGTGCACTGGGGGTCTGCTGAGCATGATCCAAGAAGGAAAGACAGCTCTTGGAGACCTCTCCCATGAAGGAAGACTTTTGGGACCAGTTGCTGGGAGCCCTACAGGCACTGTTTGCTTGTGAGCCAGACAGTATCTCTGGATGCTGCAGCTCTTGACTGCCTGCAACTCATCTCTAAGCCTACAGTGACAATGGAGTATCTGTGTCCATGTTGGACCACAGAACCTGGGAACCGGGGAGCACAGCCCAGCAGGTTTGGGTGAAAGTGTTTTGCAGTCAGAAAGGGGAAGCTACTTCCTCCATCAGCCCCATGGAGCTAAATGGGCCGGGCCTGCTCAGGTGAACGAAGGGCTAAGGTATTTGCTGAAAGATGTCCCACCACAGTGAGAATGCAATCCCACCCATCCCGTCCCCTTTTCCCACAGCCTGAGGAGGAAGCCCCTGTACCTGTTTATTCTTTAGGTCAAGGGAGAGCTCATAATCGGAGGCAGCTGCATGGGAACACGAGGCCGTCCCTTTGCTGCGCTGCACTCTCACTGGGGAGCCCGTGTGGTGGAGGCTCGCCTTCTGCACCAGAGGGGAACACCCCGCTGCCTGCTCTTCTTGGAGCTCCGCATGCTGGGCTTTTAGCGTCTGGGTGTCGGACCTGCCTTCCTGGCCACTCTGTCTGCCGGCCTCCTTCGGATCCTCCGTTTCACACCCGGCTTTCTTGCTTGTGGAACCGCTGGGATCGTCACTGTGAACAAAACGCAACGTTTCGCTTGGTTTATTTGGTTTTATGATATTGTATGTACGATTATGCTTATTGCTGCCTGCTATACCCAGTCACTGAACTGCATTCTAAGTGTCAGGGGAGCCTGGGCTGTGAAGGGTCTCTCTCAGTGATGGATCAGGACTTTAGGTTGGTGCAGCCAAAGCTCTGATCCCTCTCTCCCTAACAGCAGGCTCCTGTCCTGCATACACCGTATGTGCCAGTCCTGAGACTCCTGGAGCTGCCCAGTGCTGCCTTTGGAGGTGGTGCCACAGCCTATGGACACCTCTCCTGCTCTCCATAGCAGCTAGCACCCCTGTGCCCTTGCTGCCTATTGCTCAGCATCAAACTGTGCATCCCAGAGTTCCATCTGGCATGGAGTCTGGATCCCAAGGATCCAGTTTGCCCTGGCATTTCTAAGGGCATGTGGGAAATGGGGCAGAGGCAGCTGAATGTTGCAGAGTTTCCAGAGGAACTCCTGGAGACCTGAGAATATAGATGTTAACAGAGCCAGCCAGCCCTGAGGTCCTGACTCTTTAAAGCAAGTCTACAATACAGCCACAGCAGGCTGCAGAGCTTCCATAAAAGACATTTCTTTCTGACCCACAGATTGCCGTACCACTGAGATCTTGTGTAGAAAGGAAAACCCCTTTTTCTCCTGTCAGCCACAGCAGTATTCGTGTGAAACCAGGGCCAGACAACAGTGCACTCTTAAGAGACCTGACATGCTGCTCCAGGCAGCATAGGATTAGCATACATCTGATCCACTGAAGTGCTGAGAAAGTCTGTCCTTAACCTCTCTTCCCAAATATTCTCAAAAATAACCCAATTTCAAACAAGATTTTGGTATTTTGGGGGACTGTTTGAAGCATCAGAGTGTGTGCTTGTTGTTACATTAGTCTCCTTCCAGTGGCCACAGAGGAATAACAGGATTTCCAGGAGTGTGCAGGGCAGTCTGCATGGATACAGCTCCACTGTTTTCCAGGGGAGGAGTGTTTAGCTGAGAGCAACATCTACTTTGGAAATAATTACTACAGAACCACTGAAGCCAAGGATGTGTACTGCCTCCTGTATTTAAACACCATTCAATTATTTAATTCACTTCTGAATCATATTTCCTTCTGTTGGATTTGCTGCACATGCGACCAGTTCTGCTACCATCTAGATAACAAATCATTTTATGATTGGTGTTGATGTCAGCACAAAATCAAGGAAATTAGATATGATTTTCTGTAGTGCCCAAATTACTTAGGAGCATTTAAGTCTCATTTTCAAAAGTGCTATAAGCACTTAAGAGCCCAAGTCTTCTAACTGTAAATAGACTGGCTCCTAAGATTCAGAGCAATTTTGCATACTTACTAGTACTTTAAAATGAAATTTATTCTCTCCAGTGGTAGCTCTTCTGTTGAGCAGATTCAACAACCAAATTTAGAAATATTCCCACAGTTTCTAGAAGGGCTCCAAGTCTGCTGAGCCAAAAACAGTACCACAACTTCAGAACTAAGGAGGATGAAGTATTTAAAGGCAAAAAGTTTCTTCTTTTATACACACACATGTAGTCACCAGTTAAGACTTCAAAAGTAAATTCACAGAAGAAACCAGTCTCGTACATAAATGTTATATAACCAACTTTGTCAAAGCATATTAAAATGACATATCTGCATGCTCATCAATCAGGAAATACCACCATTAAAATGAGGCATAAAACAGTCCTTTTCAGTTGTATACCTCATAAATTCTTTCCTTGTTCTATTCCTGATGCTATAAAATTGAACACTCTTTTTCCAGAGATGTACATGTAAAGAATGTACTCATTTTTAACTCCTTCTGTTCTATGTCCATCCACATTGCAGGAAACATTAATAAAAGCCTTTTTCCCTACAGCTCACATTGTACCATTTTTATTGGCAGCCTCTGTTCTATCCATTCTCATTTTAACTTTTATTCTCAGCTCAAGGGATGACCAGGTGACATAGATTTCCATCATGTTGTGAATGCCAAAAGCCTCACAAGTGTTTCACGGGAAACGGACTGTGTCCTACAAAGCAATTTCAGCTAGGTGCATAAGCTCTGATTCAGCAAGACACATACCCCAGATTGCTTTGCTTAGTCAAGGCCACAGTGCATACAGACTTTCTTTAAGGCAGATCAGGATCTGAGACAGTAGACGAAAGAGCTAGAGAGTTGACTTACCTTGGAGCATGAATGGGCTCTAAATGCCAGAAAATATTCCTTCATGTGATGATGATGATGATCCTTGTTTGGATATGCTCCAAACACTTGCACATATGCTTAACTATTTTTCTGAAGGCGTCCACTGACTGCTTATGGTAGAATGTGAAGTGTGAGTGTAAGAGTTTGCAGCATTCAGGCTCATCACTGTAAGGCTGTACATCATGCCTAGTGTATGCTACCTATTTGGCTTTCTGTCACACACCATTTAAAGCTTGAGTGAGTAACATTCATAGTGACAGGATATTCTGGATGTTCTGTTAATGTAGAAGAAAAACCAGCAGGCTTTGTCAAATAACAGAACAACCCAGGTTGGGACGGAAGGCTGTAGGTCTCTATTTCAACTCCCTGCTCAAAGCAGGGGCATTTTCAAACAGATAAGGTTGATCTCAAGGCAACCTTTGAGTATCTTTGGACATAAAGTTTCTCTGGAAATTGGCTCTCTGGATAGCCTTGTCAAGGTCCTTAGTGCACTACTAAACCTTAATGGCCTGACTGGCCTCACCTGGGCCCCCCCAAATATCCCCTGCAGTTTCGCCTTTTCAGCCCAGCCCAGAGCACTCAGCCCCTGCCTCAACAACACTGTAAGCTTACTGGTCTCCAGCTCTGCCACAGGCTTCCCCTTTCCATGGCCATGGACCAACGTGATCTGGCCACTGACTCCACAGCTTGACCTTGGACCTGCCTCACCCCCGAGGGCCTACCCATCGATGCCTAGGCTTTGTCTGACCCTAGGTGTCCTCACTGGACCAGATTCTTACCCTGGCCAATGAGGCAGAGGCTGTTGGACCAATCCAAATTGCTCAGAAGACCCCTTTAGCCTCCTTAGGCATTTAGGTTATTCCTAAAAACACAGGGTGTTCCTAAGACTGCAAGCACCAAGTGCACATTCAGTCACAGATGTGTGAGAAGCACCACCAAGCTCAGCACTCCCACTCACAGTGAGTACTCCTAAGACACTGTGCTAGGATAAGGACACACTAACCACATGTACGTACAGTATAACCTTGCCTTCCTCCTCTGAGCCCAATGAATACACCAATAATGAATGTATTGAGCTTATGTGTGGAATTTTCTGAGGGTCAAAACTCGGTCAAATCAAAATCAAATTCTACTGAAGCACTCAAAGGCATTTTTCAGCTAGATGTTTTTAGGCTAGGCTAAATATAAACTTTTTAACCCCCTGCTTGTTTGGCTGTTGTGCTGTTCAGAAAGCAATAGAAAATACTCTTGCTGAAGTGGGAATAGTTTCTACATGTTCCTTTGTGAGAAAAATAAATGGCTGAACCACTTCTACATAGTAGGAAAAAAGAAATCTCCAAAAATGAAAGACAAACCTACTTCACCTTTGGGCAAGAGATCAAACCTCAGGAATTCCATCTTCAGATGGCAAACTTTAGTGACTCATAAGCAATAGAAAAAAGGGGCAAAGACAGAGTGTGCTTAGCAGCCTGAACGTTGGCATTACTGCTCTATGGTTCCACTTACCACCCTATATTCCTCATAGGTTTACTCGACCTTGAACCTGTTTCCAAGGAAATGATGTGGGAAGGCCTATTCTCTGTTACTGAGTAGCAGTGACTGCTGAAGCTTCCATATGGCAGACAAAACATGCTGCCAGAGATCGAAACTGATGCGGCAGTGAAATAGAGGCTAAAACCTTAATGATCCTGATTTTTAACCTCTGTCCTGAGTGGCACAGATTAGCACTGGCGGAGCACAGTTTTTGTTCTTAAGTGATACCTCAGGAGCTATTGTAACTACGGGGATACACTTACTTTCCCTTGGCCAGAGAGCCAACCTCCCTGGCTGTAGGATGAAGGAAGGGAATGGAACTTCTGCACATTCTATTTCTTGGATGAGAAAATTTTTCAGACCACTTGTAATAATCAGAGTCCCACACAGAGTCTAAAGTATGTATCCCAATGTCCTGGCCAAACTTCAACTAGGTTAATTTAGTTCTGCATCCCAGCATTCCCCCTGCAGTTTCAGCTGTAATCAGTGTTCTTCACTTGCTGTCCTAAAGTATCATATACCACCACCCTTCATAGTTTTTACAGCTACTCTTGCATGATAAATGAAGCAATTTTCTGCTAGTTGTGCAATCAGGTAGGGAAGGTTTGTAACGTCTTTGACTTCTGTTTGATTGAAAGTTGTAATGCTAATGTAAATCACTTATAATCAGACAAAGACTACAAATTCAGCTGTTCTGTTCATTCTAGATATTCATTCCTACATGACTTTTATGACCCATAGTAACAAGCTTAGTTATTACAAATAGATTTCACCTGCTATAGAAAGTATCTTTCAAGTTTCAGGTATCTCCTGCTACTTTTGCACTGCTGACTTGTATATGCCTTCTGCAGGCAGAAACCAGTTTTGTTAACAAAGATGGTGACTGCAATCTGACTGAGGGCTTATATGAAATACTGTTGCTAGTCTAGCATTTCAAAACAGGGATATCAGGGTTCTGGGCTGAATCCTAGTATTTGTTTCAAGAAAGCAGGATGGTGAAAAAGCTCTTGCCGTATTTTGAGACAATTCAGCTGGGCACCCATAAGTATGTGCAAGCGAGACTTCTGATATTTAGCTTCTATTTGCAAATTTCTCAAGAAGAATTTCTATAAGGAGTACACTGAGGGAAGGATGCACAGAGATGACAAAGGAAAAAGGGGTTTTGATGACTTCCTTATTTCTCCCTTCCTGGTATTTTGGAAACCTGAAGCCCAAATCAGTGACAATTACATTACCAA